ATAGATAGATAGATAGATAGATAGATAGATAGATAGATAGATAGATAGATAGATAGATAGATAGATAGATAGATAGATAGATAGATAGATAGATAGATAGATAGATAGATAGATAGATAGATAGATATCGGCAATATAGCGATATCAATTAAAACTCACAGCAAAAACACATTGCAACCAACTTAATATAAACTAAGAGCTATACACAATCTAACTACTTCTGTGTCATTTAATCTCATTTCCTGTTTGGGTTTCAGAGATAAATACCAATGTAAGTAAATATATACATATACATGAAATGTAAGAAGAAATTAAAAGGGTGATGACCTTTGAAGCCTTTTTATCACCCGCTTGATACGCATACTGTCTTAAATTGTATAAAGAATAAATAACAAATTAAGAAATGGATTTGAAAACTAAATACATTTTCATTTTTTTTCCTCTTATATTTAGATTTGATTGAACACGTTTAAGTATCAATACGTGTTTCTTGGTGACAATGATCCTATGTAGCCTTTTTCTCCCGAAAGTTAAAACATGATTTCAACATTTGAGATGATAAACTAATGAAACTCAGATGTTCCCACATAACAACACCGATTTTTTATTGAAATTTATCATGTATATATTTAACGTTTATTGTAATAACAAATGATGCTTCTTTAAAATCTCTCATCCAATATGAATTTATTTTCTAATAATTTGGAAGACCTAGATCATACTTATGAAAGTTTAATTGGCTTTGCAGTTAAATCTTAGTTTGCTGTCCATGTTAAAGAAGTATCATCATCGATGAAGTTTAACCTTCTTATTTAAACTAAAAACATTGGAAGAACTTTCTATTTATACAAACTAAAACTATGCAAATTCGTTGAGCTCATTTTACTAATGTTGATTACCAAACGTAAACATTCCAACATAATTCAATTAAACATCCCTCTCCCCTATTTATTTATTTATTTAGGCATTTTTATATAGCGCTTACCTTAAAGCTCTAAGCGCTTTACAATTATTAAAAAATATTTAAACTAACTATAATAAAAATGAGACATTAGAATAGTAACTACTATACTATAGAAACAATTAAAATGGCTATAAAACTAGGACACTTTGGCACGTTTTGGCATATATATTACCCGAGACAGAAAATGAGGCAGGGCAAGGAGGGTGCATCACAGGTCATAGGCGGACCTAAACAGATGGGTTTTAAGGGACTTTTTAAAAGTGAACGAGGTTTCACAATGACGGATATCGAAGGGGAGCTGGTTCCAGAGCGTTGGCCCATGGAAGTAGAAGGAGCGTTCAACGATGGTTTAAGTTTGGTTCTTGGGACTTAGAGGGTTCTATTGTCAATGAAAGAGCGTAGTTGTCTTGTGGGGATGTAAGGATGCAACAGTTCAGAGAGATACACAGGAAAGTGATGGTCAGTGAACGAGTTGAAGCAAAGATTGGCAGACTTGTACTTGATGCGAGAGGATATTGGAAGCCAGTGGAGTTGCCGCATGTGTGGTTGAATATGGTCATGTTTCTTTGATTTAAAAATGAGTCTGCATGCTGAGTTTTGTGCCTTCTGAAGTTTGTCTATGTGGTGTTGAGGAATGCCTGGAAGAAGAGTGTTACAGTAGTCAAATTTTGAAAGAATTAGTGAAGAGACGAGAGTTTTTGTGGCATCAAAGGAGAGGAGGTGTCTAATGGTGCTGATTTTTCTAATTTCGTTATATGCTGATCTACATATATTCATGACATGTTTGTCCATGGAGAGAGTGTCTGTAAGTGTGACTCCAAGGTTTCTGGCAGAGGAAGAGAGTGTGATGTGAGAGTTGCCAATAGATATGGGTCTTTAGAAAAGTGATCAACATGTTACAATACTTCAGTATTCATCCCTGCAAGTGCTTCTGATATCTGCACTACCTTTATAATATCTGAGCCTAGCAGAGCTCAACAAGAAGGTTGTCAGACGGCACTTGACATGATAGTCTCAATGACATTGTTTATCAAACAAGACCCTGTGAAATAACCAAATATTAATGGATCTCAACCCTTCTAATGCCGCGACTCTTTAATACTGTTCCTCTGGTGGTGACGATCACAAATTGCCAAATTATTTTCGTTGCCACTTCTAAACTCTATAGTATATGTGTTTTCGAATGGTCTTAGGTGACCCGCATGAAAGAGTCGTTCAAACCCATGGGGTCACGACCCAGAGGTTGAGAAACAGTTCTCAAAATAATACGTGTATTTTCTTTGAAAATGTGAATTCGTAAAAAAAAACTGTGATAGGCTGTAAAACGTTTACTTTTTTACTATTGTACACAATGCAAAAATATATCTGGCAACATGTCAATCAATCTTAACTATTATTTTTCTGTGTAATTTTAGCAGTTAAATATGCACATATGAATTTAACAGCCTTAATTTAAGCTAAATAAACCGGTACGTTAAACACAACCAAAAGAAAAAAAAAATTGAAATTTCCGCTCCATAAAAAAGTAATGATATCATATATAATAACAAAAATAATGTAAATATAAAACATATATATATAAAAGTGAACGTTTGTTTGTTTTTTTGTGGCCGTGTCTGTTTGTTCCACAAAAGCTTTTACATGGATTGAGAGTTCTTTACCAAACTTGGAACATATATCCATACTGATCCAAAAAGAAATCTTAAGGTGTTATGAATTTTTTATTACATTCTGTTTTGGGACGGGGGCCTGAATTCGTCTTTTTCCCTTGTATGAGCAATTTAAAAATAGTTAGAAACAAATACTCCTACATGAGTATATGGGATCTTGACCAAACTTAGTACACATATACTTTATTATCCATATTCAAATACTGAAGGGTACTGAACTCATAATATCCATTTCTCTTTGACCGGGGGGCTCAGTTCATTTTTCCTTACATAGCTATATAAATATCAATAGGCTTAGACAACACTACAGTTTCTGTGTGAATACATGGAATTAGGCCTAGCGTTGTAGCAATACACTTCTTTGGCTGTATTGATATATCGGTGGATTTAAAACTAATAACATCCCATCTAGAATTTTCAAGAAACTTTCATT